AATAAATCACATTAAGGTTGCCCTAAATGAACAAAATCTCCAAATAGACTCATGGATTAGAGAAAAAATTACAGCTGGGGCAAGCTGGGTTTCATTTACTGGATTCCAGTTGAATGAATAACAAGTAGGTACTCTCTGAACGATACAGGCGAAATCACACACTGGAATATTTTTGAGATAGGAATCTGTAATTTTGTAATATTTTTAAATCTAATGAAGTAAGACTTTTTAATATGATAAATAAGTAACGCTCTACCTCAGGCCAAAATCCACCACTACGACACCTATAAGCTTATTTCATATCTTCTTTGATTAGGGGTGTGCGATAGACTTACCTCCACGTGGTGCACCCTGGGCAACGTATACTCATACGGCAAAAAGTCTATTACTTGGCAGTTGACTTCTGACTTCAAACTGCCATGATCCCACTGTATGTCATATTCGACTACTTCCACAGTTCTCACCTCACCTCTTTTCTACCTTTCTACCTTCGTCTTTGAAACACTCTTCTGTTCATTCCCCCACCCCCTCGAGACTTTTTTTCACTTTGATGTTCCTTCCCCTCTGTGAAGCCCGAAGTCAACTAAAGGGCTAATGATAACCATCAAAACGCCTGCCATTTGATATAAATAAAAAATATCTCCTTTGATTAAGTATTCGTTCATGCCCAGGTTTGCCTAGTTTAATCAGTTTCGTATTGTTAGGTTAAGTATATCATTTAGCAGGTCATGGTAGTGAAAATAGTGACAAAAAATTTGGCCCAAATGAGTGTTAAGTTCAATTGAAAAATAAGTATTGTTTAGTACAATCGATGTTTCCTCTTGTAGAGGTTTACCAATCTTACCGTTTCATTCAACCTCATAATGGGCGATTTTGTGAATTTCCAAAAGTAAATCCAACCAACCACAAATTCAACCCGTTCGATTTTTTTTGCATTCTATTTTCAATATTTATTTACGAAGAAATCTCGCCTAAGGTGGAAATGAAAAATGTGAAAATCAATGGAATAAATATCATCGATTATTTCGAAAATTTAAAGGCGAAAAAGCCTGCACTTGTGCCAGAAACCTCTTTTCCGTCCAGCTGGAATTAAGCGGTGAATGGAGTAGGTGGATAAATCCAGGCGATGAAATGTGAAACAAAGGACATCTGGAGACTAATGCTCAGCACGAGAGATCCCAATTGATCGAAGTCAATTGTTTGATACTAAGCAACTCATTTCGAAATTTATTCAATTGGTATTTTAATAACTAATTATGTAGGCTACGGTTTAACAAGATGGTAAACGATACTCATCAAATGCATTTTCGGAAAGGTGAATACCAAATGGTCATTTGCTAATTTTCTTATTTATTGGATAACAACGGAAAGTGTCACTGTGAGGAGGTACTATCAATGGCAAATTTGAAACCCACATCAGTTCTTTGTGTTTATTAACTTTAAAAGTGCATGCTTTCAAACGGAACAGCTAAAACTTCGCAAATAAATATAAACTCAGGCCTTTCACGCACTACATGTAACCTTCTGGATTTAAGATGGCCTAGGAAAAGATTTAGCCACCTCAAGTTGATCGTTGAAGCAGTGTTTAACGTCAGAAGTCGAAGAATTGGCCCGCCTCTGTGGACATCCCCCCTAACATGAATGAATTTGCTCTGCACACATATAGGCCAATGCCTCCAGTCAATTGATGACTTCTAATCGATTTCTCATCCAGGAATTTGGAACTCAAAATCTTCCCCACTACTTCAATAGACACTCTACATCACAACCCAGATTCCACTAGACCAGTTCCGACATTTTATCCGTCTCTTTCGATTCCAAAGCCTCTCTCCGCTTCCTCCCTTTTACATCCCGCTTGTCTCTATAGTAAATCACATCTAGTGAGAGGTTTTTTGGAGACGGGTCTATGTTGTGATAAGCTATCGTTATACTTGATGTATTCCAAAGTATTCACAGCTACAAATGTTACATGCAAGCAAAATTCAGGAAGATATGGAGTGGAAGGGTTTAGATTGGGAATTTATAAAAAGGTGGGAAACTGAATTAGGCCTTTGCAAGCACGCACGCATTTTCCAGAAAATTCTGACATTCGCCAATTTCCATCGATCATACTCGGGAACGTTATGACAACCAGAGACATACGATAGTCCTAGAACCACTTTGAACGAGGCATAGAAACAGCCCTACTTTGGATTCAAGATAAATTAAGCAGAGAATATTTTATACAGTGACCATACCTCCTCAAGGCATTTTATCTCACAATTTGGTAAATACCCTAGGTTTGTCATCACTCAGACATCTTCAAAGACTAACACATAGGCGAATTCTATAACACATAACGGGATTGGGATTAGAATAGCTCTTAATTATTCACATACTTTACGTAAGAGTAGTCATCATGGTAGGATCACAAAGGTACATACACAGCAGCACGCACAAACATACACACACACACGAACCAATTTCATTGTCATCAGGTTTCAGATACAAATATGACAAAATATAAAAGAAGCCCATAACACTAATCGTCGGGCATTTTGAGTGCAAGCGAAGAGGGAATGGACTAGATAATGGAGAGTGAGGAAGAATCGCATACACAGACAAACACACCAGAAATTCGTCAGTTTAAGCAGGTGAATGTGTCTGTTGAATAGCTCCAGGGGTCTCCGCAGAAGCAGCCATAATACGTTGGCGCATGTCAGCTGCGGAAGGAGAGAAAGCGATGACCTCCTGGTAACTGGGAGGTGGGGGCTCATCTGAATACTCGTCACCATCAATGTCGGGCTTTCCACCAATTTCGGGGGGCATTGGATTTGGTTGCACCGGAATTGAAGGCAAATGAGATTGCGTATGAGATGTGGAATCTGGAAGAGGTGGCATGGTAGATGGAGACAAACACCCTCTGGCAGACTCGTCGGCTTGAACGGTGAGTGGATTGTCCGGATCGATTGGAAGCACAACTGCCATGCCCATTACGTCCTTATATGCCGGTGGAAGTTCAGAATTCCAACTGAAATGAATAATGCCTTGCTAAATAACTCATGATTTCAAATAAACCAAGACACTGGATGACTGCTCAATTTTATATTCCTACTCTATACCTCCTCATGATCTTGTTATTTCACGTAATCAGATGTGATTAAAACCTACAAGTGGCTATTTTTGATTTTTCAAATGTAATTATAGTAAAGAAAAGGCGATATATGGAAGTTACTCATAAGTAAATATGTTCAAATATTTGGCTGCAATTGTACTGAAATGTAACAATTACTAGCAATAACCAAAAATAAATAATGAATCAACAAAAAATAAGTTGTCTATGGGAGTTGCAAATGTTGCCTAAACAAATTGAAGTGGAATTGGATGCAATTATTCCTTATTTTTAAAATGAAAATGTTGATGTCAGATGCCTGCTCTCAGAAAATATCAAATACGCGTGTTGAGGGGAAACTAGTGAAGAAATAAAGTCATAATTATGAAAAAAAACTCATCTGAAACTTCGAATCGAGCTAAAATGTAATTATGATGGATAGGAAAGATCGAAAGAAAAAAGGCGTCAAAATACAGTTCCATAAAAGTGATTACAAATAACTAATGATATATTTAGTAATATTAATTAAATACTATGCGATGCTAAATGCAGTAAATGGGCACATAAGGAGTTCAGGATAAATTTAACTGAACAATATTTGGCCGTTTTTTTTCGTACACACTAATTAAAGATGCTTTCGGACACTGTGTTTCTTTTAAAAGTTTACAACCCCCCCCCCATTTCCATTCAAATACGTGTTGGAAGCGAAAAATTGTCACTGGAGCCCATTTGAGTCATAGGCGATCTGTCTTGGTCATCAAAATAAAAAGATTATGGTTCCTCAACACTCCTCGAAGGCAGTCCAACATGAAATTGAAAGTTGCAATGGAGACAACGAGACTACTGTGGCTAGAAGAAAGCAAATTAACAGAGTATTCAGACTGATTGTGCTCCCACAGCAGATTTCCACAATCATCTGATGTGAAATAGCTCAACATCGGAATTCGGGCTTTGTCATCTCCATCAATTCAAGGTTTCGACTTCCACCATGAAGTTAGCACTCAATTATGGCCTCTACTTCTACAACCCAGTTAAAATTCTCGCATAAGTGGAACCATGAAGAGAACCAAGGATGAAAAAACTTCCGAGCAAAGTGAAGCATCCTTCTGAAGCACAAAGAAACTGGTTCTTTTTCGATGACAACAACTTTTACCTTGAGATGGCTTGGCTTTCATACAACCCAAAGAGCACACCTCGTTTCATGCAGACTACATTTGTCAATCTGTCATGTTTTTCGGATGTGTCCAACTCCACCAAGGGTTACGCAATGTGTCCATCCGCAGTTATTTTAAAGAGAAGTCTAAATTGAGTTCAGATGCCTATTGGGAATTGCTGATTGTTGTAGTAGTTAACATCTAGATACCTAACAAGAGTGGCCAATGACAGATCATGTGTAAGACAACAAAATTCCGTTCTGCCAAACCTCAGAAAGAAGCTAAAAATGGATTTCGATCAATTTCTAACTTTGCACAAGTTCCAACTTATTCTTAACCACTGAACTCCGGAATCTGTAAAATACGGTAGACTAAAGAAACCAAAAAATAAAGGAACGTAAGCATACAAATCGAGATATGAAATACCTCTTGACTATTACTAAATGATAAATGAGGAAGTAGATTTTCAACACATTTCTTGGGTAGAAAAAAGTTCATTTTTTTATGGGGCTGTATTTAGCCACCTAAAAACGAATTCCAGAATCAAGGGACTTGCCAATAATTAACAGGATTGAATTAAAATTCACACACAGTTGACATAATTTCAGACTAAATTAAGATGGAGTGAATAAACAAACCACATTTTTCCTTGATTAGACACGGGTAATCTGTCGAACAAGTCAATTTGCACTAGCACTTTACTAACGAAGCTTAAAAAAACCCTGTCACAGACATTACACCCACGGGCAGCTTTTTACTTAGAGCCTACTTTGAATTTAATTGAACCACAATGAAATTGAACTATTTTTCAGGACATGCTAGGAAATCGATTTAACGGAGGGCGGCAAATTTGTCACCGGCAATCAATACCCGTTCCCCCCCCCCCCCCCACACACGTTTGACCAGTTGTACTGTCTTTACAAGACTGAAGCTCCACACTATTTTTTTTGAGTTTGGGCAACTGCTGTTGTAAAAAATATATATTCAGCGAACGACCTAGATCATACTAAATTATATCAAAGAAGACATAGCTTCCTAGTGAGACTAAACTGAGAATCTCATAGCGTGGAGGTATACTATTTTCTACTTCATGAGAAAGCAAGATAAACATTGCTCAGTGACTATCATTAAAAAAGTAAACTAAATGAAAAGATAATATTGATCTAGGTACTCATAATCTAGATATCTTCTTATTGCTAATCTCCATTGGCTTTAACCCTTGACTATATTGAGGAAGATAGTTAAACGATTATAGAGGAATGAACTTTTAGCTATTCTAGCATTCCGCTAAACGGCTTAATGCCGTGAATATCCCAACTAGCAATTTGAAGTATTTATTCAAACTCACCTTTACCTTAAGAGCGCATAAACGGGGTTAATTTCAAAGTCAGGAAAAATTGCATTTCTGAGAATTCGGAGAAAAAAATGAGTTGACGAATTTTGAATAGGCATGGCCAAAAGTTGGCTGTTAAAAGGAAAATTACCAAACAAATGTAACAAGTCACTCGATTATAGTTCAGCAAACAGCATCACCATCAGCATTAACATTTGCGCTAGCAAGGGACTTTTAAAGTGCTTTCGCCCTAGGGGGCATTTCGTGGCCTACGATTTAATAAGAACATATGACAGCGAATATAATCCAATCACGCGAAAGGAGAATGATGAGCCAAGGGGGCTAATTTCAATTGATATTACAATTAGAGACCATGGAAGAGAGGATTCGGGGGGAAAATATTAGCCTTAATTAACAACTCATGATTAACCGTTATTGGCTACAAGAAGATATGCATGAATCTGGGCAACACGAACAACGATGCAGGTAAATCAAATTGTCAGCTAATTACGAGCATCGTAACAATTTACTATTAGAGAAACAAGTCCTGAAACATTGAATAGGGCATGACTAAGGGGTTAAACCACTTAAATATTCAATAAGGCGATTGACCTAACGAAATTGGAATTCAAAAGTAATAACATGACCTTTTTCACTACATAGGTTTGACAATTAAGATGCTTTCAAGGCTAACCTTTATCTCACGTGTCGTGAATGCTGCAGCCTCAATGTGAGCATGAAAAAAAATACACCTTACAGATTAAATAAAGCTTTGATTATTTCACTTCATAGGGGAAGAGCTAGAGTGCACCGAGAAGAGGACATGTCTGAGTCGAATCGAAGTGGTTGGGGCAAGACTGGCGAATCAATAAGAACAGGTATGCTTCAACCCCCCCCCCCCCCACCCCACCCCCTCCAAAACTGTTGCAACGCTCCTACCTCAACGGACCTTGCCCGGGTAACTAACACCGATACACCATGGGGGTGCCTAAAACGATGACGCACCTCCTAATATCCCCTTATATCCTAATTTTATTCAGATGATGGAGATTATCCGTGAAATGCCAGCATCAAGAAAATTCGTGAAGTAAAATGATAGTCTGATTCCAAACACATGCAAAAAAGGAAATTAGTCCAAAATTGCAGAAGACTGTGCGATACTAACTTGTAAAAAAAACTTGCACCGTTCAAAGTGCCACTGTTCGAACAACAATAATACCCCAATCACAATGCAATCTATAACCAACAGAACACTGAAACCCCATGGAAAGTACTTTTCAATTGCTTAATTAAACAACTTTGCTAATCTCATTGAGCTGTTTTTAGCTACAATGGGGTACACATAAATTGATGTGGCCTGCGCGAACACGACGGCAAATCAAAGAGGTTTGGAATATAATGGAAATAAACTCACTCGGTAATTTGGCTGTCAATTCATGGGATTTAAATGTCACAATAAACATGAACTTAAATTGAACCATATTCTATATGGGAATGCAAACCAAATGCTTCAGTAATTTAAGCAACGTAAGATTGTTTTAGACATAAACTTCCGTACTAGTTCATTCCATGAACAAAATCGTTTCCAAGCATTAAAGGATTCGCAAGAAAACATTCCTACAATTTCCAACCGAAAACCATTTAATTCAGTTTGATTAAAAATTATGGTCACGTGTTGATTTAGTTAGCTTGAAATTTGTTTAATCGAGACAGGGGGAATATTGATTGGAGACTTGCACTCGTCTCTTTCCCAATAACTCAAAATTCACCTGGTAAATCTGAGAATACGACGAGTACAAGACAGAAGGTACAGTCGGTGAATTCTAGTGTTCTTCCTCGTTCTCTTTACTTGTTTTCCTGCCTTAAGCTCTCTCTCTCTCGCACACGCACACTCCCTTTCGCGCCCATTAATCTTGAGTTCCTGATTTGGAAAAACAGTGAACTCATTTATTGTTCATTTTTATTCAGGTGCCATGGGCAATGACAGATGTAGAAAATCATCGAAAGTTATTTCAACTTCATTACTGCAAGGAAAGATGGTTACTGGGACAGTGGGCAGAGGGTATACCGAAAGTACCAGTTTCTGAAAAAGTCACTATAAACTCGTGTAAATTAACAAAAAAGAACGGAATTTGCTACTGAAGAGATTAACTGAAGAAAGGAAAGCTAATAAGTACAGCGGACAGTTTTGGGGCCTAAACTTAATCGAATGCCAAAAGGAATAAGAAGCATGGGACATTTCTAGATATAAACTGAGGTAACATGAGGCAAGGACCACCATATCAAAGCTTGTTGATGCTTCACATCTAATAAAGGACATGGCTACATACAAGAATGTCATCTTCAGGGTTTATGGTAGATTTAAAAAGATTTATGCAAAAAGCAGCAGTATTCATTCATCTAAGCCGAGCTGGTTTTAATAGAGAAAAAAAACTTAAAAAGGAATGAAGAATGAAAGGATTCCATTGTTCAAAACCCTGGATACAACATTATTGCACACTACCGATATGAAATACATCCCTAGGTCATTAGGTATATGGTGATATCGATAGTAAAACAAGAGACTCACAAATGTGAATAAGGTAATCCAACTCTGGATCTTCTAAGAGCAGGATCATCATCATCAACTAAACCTTGACTAGTGCCACCTTCACCAGCAGTGTTTTCAGCCGCCCTTCGAGCAGCCCTACGTCGGGATGCGGAGGAATTCGATGATGATGAGATAAGGAAGAAACGAACACAACAGAAGACTAGAACAAGGAAGGCGGCTGCGCCCAAGGCACCACCCAGGATGGCGTAGAACCGGTTCGAGCTTGCCACTGCACTAGCCACAGCTTCAGCGTTACGAACATCAGCGAGTTGGCTACAAGATAGAAGGGCTCCACCACCTGTGGTGTGAGTGAAGACTGTGGAATTAGCACGGAAACAACTGTGACAATCTACAACCTCGTCATTCCCTAAAAAGAAAAGGGTTAAAATTGGTGACTAAGTACTGGTGTATTATGATTTAGTCTGCTTAAGCGTATATCTGAGGAAAAAAGCCCAACAAGCAACGACAAATCGCTTGTGAGTACATTAACACAAGTACCCATCCTTTTGAATGGGTTAAAAATTAAACAAAGCAAGCTAATTCGATAAGGTCGAATTATTAGAATCAAACCTAGAAGAGTAAACTGCTGAGATTTCTAAATACTCAATCACATCAATTGTCTGTTTTTAATTAATGTTGACTAATTATACTTGATTAAATATATATAGAAATTCAGAGGAAGTCTTAAGATCCACTTTTTCCAATTAGGTAAAAGAAATATAAGAGGCCTCGAGGCCAATATCAACTGACGCCCATCCAGAGATGCGAGTTTTCATATGCTAAAACTGGTCGAAAAGCGAAGCGGCAGAATGTGAGTTTAGCAGGAGCGAATCCAGGTAAACTGAGCGATCCAACTGATGTGGGCACCACTAATAGAGGACCTTGGATACATGGGTTTAAAGAACGCAATATAATCGTTCCTATTAGCGAATGCCACAAATGACCCATCAATAATGAAATAGAATGAATACGAAATAAGCCTGCTATGTTGGAAGCATCTTATATAGACGAATATTTGCAGAAAAAAATAATGAATAGGGAACTTCGGATAATCCTATACTAATATTAATAAAAAGGGAACATGATGTAGAAAACAGTTCCCATCAAGCCATGTGCGAGAAATCAATTAAGAGATTAAAGAGATCAAGCAGAAGACGATGCTGAGTGGAACCAATTAAGTGTTTTCACTAACTCACGTAATGCTTCAATAAGGATAATTAGTTTTAGCGCCCGAGGTAATGCCAAAAAATTGTAATTTATAGTTCAATGAAGTAGCTCTGAGCGTGAAAAACAAAATTGGGGAACTGCAATAATACTGAGAACCGCATTTAGATACCAGAGGTTGTTACTTCATTAGAAAGTTTTAGGATTCGGAAATTCCAGTTATAAAAATTACTTTTGCAGGAGCCCAGAAGACGGCCGATAAAACTGAACCCTTTCCTGGTACAGTTGCAAATCCGACTGCGCATATGCATTGGGTTAATCGGTACAGACGAATAAGTTTCATCAGTTTCTGGCCAGCGAAGAGCGGTAATGGGAAGCTCGGTAGAATTCACACAGTACTCTCGCATTGCAGATTCCTTTGGAGAGCGAGAAACAGCGGGATATGTGCGACGTCGACCAGGATAACAAGGTTCCACAGAACAAACGGACCATTCGGTCCATTCACACCAAGAAAAAGGCCAAATCATACGTAAAATAAGGTCAGCCACTGAAAAGGATAAAACTTCAAGACCAGAAAATAATTTTTTAAGCTGCTAAAAAATAAGCTTATAAGATTACCCTTGAAATGATAAGTAATGAAGGAAATAAAAGATACAAACGTAAATAAGGAGGACAGTTATTCAAAGGCAGTTGTTTGGTACGCCTACACTAAAGAGAAATTAAACAAAATATCTTAAAAATGACTAATAAAATTGTTGTATAGATTTAATAACTACTTTCACAATTAATTTGCTTTCAGTGAATTAAATTTTAATTGATTTAATAACTCTGTTAACCATTTGAAAGTGTATCAGATAAAGAATAAAATGACTTCGAAACTTATATTTTTAGGCGTTATTTGAAAAATTATATATTAGCATAAATTTCTAAGACCACTTTATTTTTTGCTTTTGACCTACAGCTCTTCATATTTTCAATTTGCTTCGTTGTGAATTTGTGTTAGCCGTCAACTTAACGTCTAATATCCGTATTTATATCAAGCACGCAATATGTTCAAACCCATAGTCACAGATCCTATTCGTCTTGACGAACTATTTACTAAGGTAAATGTGGTTTCTTCTCTCAGCTGTGAAATTCAGAATACAAACAACACTTTGTTAGCTCAGAAGGTTCGGGATGAAGCCAGGGCCTCCCTTCTAGAGGCTAAGAGTGCGGGACTCCTTGATAATGAAGACTTAGCTGTTAGTATTTTGTCGTATTTATATCTTGATTTTGGTAGGATTTATGGAATATTCTTGAGAAATACAAGGATACTTCTACTGATAGTGGAAGAAGTTTTATTACGTACCCAAACTTCCTGAAGGCCAAAGATGAAGCCTGTCCTAAAGCCAAGTGCTAAAATATCTATATGTTTGGCTCTCTATTCTTTATTTAATCCATTTGGCATAATTTATTCTCGTTCTTCTAGGCAATACTTCACTGCAACAATATTCGCCAAACTCTGTCACGGAGAGCGATTTTCTCGCGTGAACATTCTAAGTTTCTTCAACTACGTCATGAAAACTGTCTGGTTGCAGCAAACGCGAATTGGAATTTCCCTCTACGATGCTCATGGCGACGGTTACCTTCGGGAAGGTGATCTCGAAAGCTACATTTCAGAACTCATTCCTTCTCTCTGTAAAGTAGGTTTTTTTCTTTGTTCTATTTTGATGCGCTCGGATTATCTTATGATTCATAGTCATTCCTTACAGACACAATCATTACATCTTTTCTCATCATTTTTCTTTTACTAGGATGTTTTTAATTATATCCCCATGTAATTGTGTTTTCTTCTTGGTTTTGGCTGTTTTTTTACAGAGTTCTTGTTATGGTGATTTATGGTCGATAGCGGCTTCTAATTGAACCTCGCATGTGCTGAAAATGACATCTTTTGAGATTAATTTCATCTTCTATATAGGTTGTGCTCGTGGAGGACTAAATTTTTCCTTTTTGTTAAATAACAAAGTTAGCTTTCTTGGTATTGGCCCTTGAGAACACTATTTTTGTGCAAATATTTCCATACTATCGAATCGAATATGTGGTTTAATTTAAGTCAATGAGGTCATGATTTTAAGCATTCTTGTAATCTGAATTTGATCAACTTTCGAATTATGGTGTGCTAACATTTTATTGTCTAACAGGTGGTATAATTTGAAATCTCTTAAAATACCATCCAATTCTCAGTTTCATAATCCATAAGCTTGTAGACTTTTTATTATGCTAGTATTTAATATCGGAAAGTATTTATCACCATATATTATCTCGACTACGATGTTTTATTCACTTGTGACTTCATTCCGTCCTTTGCATCGATTTATTTTACTTTAGAATTCTTCCTTACCAAGTTGGAGCTCTAAATCTCCTTCAACTGAATATGAGTTTTCTTTGGTAACGCTAATCTATGTCCATCTCTTATTTGTTAATAAAGCTATTGGTTTCCCCTTTTAAACTAGGATGATAATGTGGTGTCTTATAGATCATAGGAAAAAGTTGGATTTATTCAGTTTTTGTCTTTTAGGACTCTCGTCTAGGTAATCAGAGAGTTGCCCCCTCCAAATTTATAGAAATCGATTGTCAGGTAAAGTGGTCTGCTCTGTGGGCTTTGATTTAATATCTTCCGTCTATGTTCAGTTTCATGTGAAAATGTCTAAACCTCTACTTATCCGTACTGATTTATGTTGTTGTTTCCTGATTTCACTGAACTTCGTGGCCAACCAACTACTCTATTAATGCGCGGACTTCGAGTCTCAAATCTCTCTTATTTTCATTGTTTCGTCATCCTAAAAACAAAGCTATATATCAATAATGGTTTATTTTATTAAGTTCTGGATATTGTCATTAAAAATAACTTTCTTTAAGGCTTTATTTTAGACTACTCTTCCTTTTATCTAATAATTCTCGCTTCTGTAATTTGTCTTCTTAAGGTTTACCCATGCCTTTATCTTTTCCCAAGTACTTTCCAATTTTCATAAATTTTAAATAGATATGTCTTTTGTATCCTGTCCTAAATTTTCTTCTTTTTTTGGTAACCCTATTAAGTATTCCCCCCGTTCATATTTCACGTTTTCTCTATTCGTTCATTGTCACCCTTTTTTCTGTCTCCCTGTCTTCCCTATTTTCCTCCGATGACCTTGAATGTTTATCGATTCTTATCGACTGAACGGTAGAACGATACATTTGCTCAATGCATAATTCAAACTCTTAAATATATTATTTCTTTGCTTTGGGTCTATTAAAAAAAACATGATTTTATTAAGCAATTTGTAACTCATTAAATTATCTGCCCCCCTAGGTTGATACTGTTTCAAATGAAAGTTCCTTAAAGTCCAAGGTGGCTATTATTTTCCTGTTTGCTCTTTCTCTCTCTCACCCTTTCTAATGGGTTTAAAATATGCTATACTCTCATGGCACAGTTTTTTAGGCATTGTTATTCCAATTAACATTTTTTTGTACTAGACTGAGGAGTCTACTCGGAATCCAGAAGTAATTGTTAAGCCTCCAGAAGTGAGCTATTGGTTGTCTCCCCCCCCCCCCCCCCCCTATACTTTAACACTTTATCGCTTTAATGATTATCTCTTTCCGTCATGCTCTAGACTGATGCTTCTTTGGTTGATGGGTCTTCAACATCCGAGGTATTTTGAATAAGTGCTCTTTAAAAAATGGGAAGTCCTTCGTACTCTTTTTTTGTATTGTCATAGGTTGGTGAGAGTACAAGTAGCAAGGTCGAAGTAAGGTCTACCTCTTCCATTCTTGATTAAGAGTTTTTGTTAATCGTTGAAATGTCGAGATGGCTTTTTAGGATAATTGTGATCAGTGGTGTAAACTTGGTTTATTATCGACTATCACAGAACGCTCGTATGAAGTAATGCCTTGGTCTTATTTCTATCCTCTCAGCTCTAGTTGTTCCTTTCTAAGATGAAGTGCTTGAGACCTGCTATAAATGGCAACTTATTTTTCTTTATTTATCAGTTTAATTTTCTTGTTCTAGTCTGAACGACCCACTAAAAATAGTATCCATATTCTTCAGGTAATCTCTAGCTCCCTGGAATTGAATTATCATAATTAGAATAGTCTTTGTCGCAATTTTATCATGGTTGCCATTTCATTTAATAGACGGATGAATCTGTTAGTGCGTCCAAGGTAAAACGAGCATTCAATGCTTCTTAAAATAAGCTATTCCTAAGATGTCTTTCCATGCCTACTTAAGTTACTCCAAGTCGGTAATATTCATCTAATTGTGCTCTTTTTACCACGTACCAGAAAGAAGAAACCGAAGAATTGGAGGTAAGTCAATAACTGCATTAGTACGCAACTGTGCATATCAACATTCCCTCCACTGTGTGATGACTATATACCTTCTCTCTGCTTACTTTCTACTTGAGCATTATTATGGTCGCTTTAATTTTTGCCACTTTCCAGGTTACTAAATTGAAGAAACTCGAACAATACCCTCTCAGTGCATCGGTAAACGCTAGCCCTATCAGCTATATGTTCCTTTGTTCAGTCTACTTAAATGTTCTGCCTATAGATTGGATCTTTTGCTAAATCCGTTTTTTTATTGAAAGTAATCCCATGTCTTTGTTTTATTTCATTTTACTTTCAGTGGCCTGTCTTTGAGCTATTCTGGGCTCCTTTATATAGCCCTATTGCCCAAAATTATCTCGAGGTGAAGTATTTTTTTCCAACCCACGTTTTGTTAATTGTTTCTGCTCTCCCTCTATCCCTTTAATCTATACGCTCTGACTTCATTACAGGGTGAAGAATTGACAGAGGTAACTCTTTGGTAGATTTTTGTAAATTTTTGGACGTGCTGATAGTTGTTAGTAGCATCATTTTTGTGTTCGAAGTTCATGAACTTCTGTTGTTCACTATTGAACTGTCGAACCATGTAAACTAAATCTGAGAACGGCTGTTTTACTCTGAGGAAGCTGACACAATTTTCTGTTTAACTCCGTCTTGCCTGCCTTAAAAAATGAGACAATTGACTCGAATCCTTTATTCAATTACTCGATGGAGCTCGAACAAGTGAAAATTAAGCACGCTGATGCTAAGTTCATGTCACATGCAATATCTATTTTCTATTGCCCATTAGTTTTACTCGTAATTTCTTTTTTCCCCACTAGTTGAACGGAGTCGATGATGCCTTCAGAACTTTTTACGTCTGTACCGCAGTTCGCAAATTCCTCTTTTTCCTCGACCCCTTGCGTGCTGGACGCGTCCGTATCTGTGATATCCTTGCTTGTGGTTTCCTTGACAACATTTTAGAGCTACGAGAAGCTTCTACAACTCAGGCACGCTTGGAAGAAAATTGGTTCTCTTTGGAATCAGCAAAACGTATCTACGCGAGTTATCTTCGACTGGATACTGATCAAAATGGCATGCTCTCAAGAAAGGAGTTAGCCGGGTATATTTTGCTATTCCCTTAATTTATTAAGCCCATTAATCTCAATTTGTCATTGTAATTGAATCAATTAGTCAGTTAATTGGGTAATAAACCAATTGAGATTGACTGCCCCTTCATAAACGACGTTTTTGTTAGCTATCTATTCTTCGCTGAAACTAAATAAGTAGTTGCTGATTTTTTCGTTCTTTTGAAGCTACAATAACGAGTCGCTGACAGATGCCTTTCTCGATCGCGTCTTCCAGGAATGTCTCACTTATGAGGGTGAGATGGATTACAAAGTCTACTTAGATTTTGTCCTAGCAATGGAGAACCGCAGTGAACCCCAATCAATCGCTTATATCTTCCGAATTGTTGATTTAGGGGGTCAGGGCCGGTTGTGCGTCAAAACTGTTGAGTACTACCTCAACTCACTTTTAGAGAGCCTCGGAGATGGGCCAGATACTCCAAGAACATGTGATATAATCAATGAAATCTTCGATATGATCCGGCCTAAGCATCCTGACTATATTACACTGGACGATTTACTCAGATCGTAAGTAGAGCAATCATTACTTTCTGGCTGTTCATTGAGGCACCTAACAAAATATTTTCTTATTTTTGATCCAGAGGTAAAGGCGACACTGTTTTAGGAATTTTGACCGACGTTCAATGCTTCATGTTGTACGAGAATCGCGAAGCCCTTGCAGCTGGTATTCAAGCTGATATGTAGTTGATTTCGGAACGTTTCTAGAATCTTACCTCTACAAACATCAACTCGGATTATCCAAATTGAACATGTATAAACCCCGTGAAAATGTAACTAAACTCATAACTGAAATGTCCACCCATTTTTTAGCCTTCGGTTATTCCAATATTGGTTTAATTTTACCGTAATATGGAATACAAATAAATAATAAAAGATATGCATTTTAAATCTGTTTAGAAATAACAACGATAATGTACAGGTGTTGGATACAAATAATATCTTTATATGAAATATGAAAGGGATATTTATGAAAATAAAGATTTCATACTTTTTCCCTCTTTTCTTCTTGGCCGGGTTCATCAATTGTAAATTTGTTCTCCAACATGTCAACGGCATCAGAAATGGTCGATTGATCTACAGTTTCTATTCGAATAGGCTTGAAATGCTTTAGCGTTCCATCTGATTGAGCTTTAGCTGATTGAGATGGTTCAGCATTTGACATTTTAGAGCGGAAGATGTCAGCATTAGAATTCAAGGCCTGGACACAGCGTTTAACGAGAACAGCTTGCTTCTTGCGAAGCCGTTTTTTAGAGCTCCGTTGAGACTTGGCATTGTTAGGATGAGTCATCTCTAGCGAAAGCGTAGACCTGATGAAAACGTGACAGACAACTTTTGCGTAATCGAGAAAAATCTGCTGCGATCTAATCAGTAATTTTAAACAAACGCGTCATGGGCCTCTGACTATCAGCAAACCCTTGTAATAACATACAACATGTAAATCATAAACTAAAATTAAATTATTTATTTTTAGTCTATTTCATTTACTTTCCAATTTAGTCAAGGTATAGAATCTACTTAGATTTTAATTTAAAAATATCATCGCTTCAATTTAGTCGGGAAATTTTTGGATGAAACAAAAAGTCTCAACTTTGATACTAATATCTTTATTCTAAGAGAACTTAGGTTTTATCAATAATTTATGAAAATGTTATCAAACTTGTATGATCACTATTCACCGAGGTTTTCTCTTGATAGTTGCTTCATCCGTCGGAAATACTGAATATTTATTATTTTATATGATTAAGAACTCGCCCGGTTTTAAAAAGCTGAAAATGAAATCGACAGTATGTCGTCCTTCTAAATATGGTTTTCCTCATAGAGTTTTGATAATTCAGTTTTTGAAATTAGTAAGGAAAATGCGCATGCTCTCAGAAAAAAGAAAGCCTCTGAAATTCTTACTGACGAAGAAATCAAAGTTTGGTACTTTGAACGATAATAATTTTGTAGAACATTTTTACCACTTTGGATGAATGCACTATAGCGTCTTCTCCAACCAGTGAAAAATATATTAGTTATCCGCTTTTTCTCCAAGCTAAACAACGAATTTGCGTTAAAGCGCAGTAAGTTTCGATTTGCAAAGCTTTTCTTCACAAGGGTGCTTTTCTCAAGATTCTTAAATGTAAATTTTCTCCTTCAGTCAATTTTTCTCACCAATTGTCTTTGCTAAGTTATCGAAAATGGATCAATTTTCAAGAGTGAAATTATCCGATTTTTGTGCCTATGTTAGCAAAATGACATGGCTTAATCGAACACGTGTTGAAATATCGAAATACGATGCGATTGGAAAGGGTTATTTAGTTGAACATGAACTTGAACATTACCTGCAAAGCCAACTTCCCTTTCTGCAGCAAATTAAAAAGATTGAACGGTGGTTCATCCCATACTACATATGCACGATTTCTAGAAGATTCTTCTTTTTTCTTGATCCAATTCGCGTTGGACGTGTCCGAATTTGTGATGTTATGGCCTCTGGATTACTAGAATCATTTTTTGCTCTTGGTTTTAAGAAAGAGAAAAAATCAGCGAATAACCATTTCACGCTATCTTCAGTCAAACGTGCATATGATAACTTTGTCAAATTAGATATTAATAAGGACGGATCACTTTCCCGAGATGAACTCTTTCGAATGCCTACTGGAATTGGACACTTAAGTAAATTTTTCGTTGATTTCTTCTTTGCCACACATCCGTCAAGGAATGGCGTTATTGTAAGTTAAGATTCTTTGGTTGGCTATGATTTAATGTCAGAACGCAGCTACTTTATTACTTAACATGTTTACAGGATTATCGAACTTATATGGATCTCGTATTGGCTCTAGAAAATCGAGAATCGACTCAATCGATACGATATCTTTTTAATGCTTTTGATATTGCCGGTCATGGGAAACTAAAAATTTCGATGATTGAGGATATATTCAATGAATCTGATCGAGAATCCGGCTTGAAGGAATTTCGTAATTTTTATAGTTTTGTCTTTGATAAATTTAAACTGAAGGATCCAGAATATATTACTCTAAATGAACTGCTTAATTCGTGAGTCATACTTTATATTAAATCATTAAATTAGCACTTTATAGAGTTTTTTTCTGTCTTGAAATCTAAGTTAATAACTCTTGCAACTCTTTCATTCTGCCTCAAAAGAGGTATCCGGAGCCCATATTAGATATTGGCTAATCATTATTTCAAAATTATATAATAAACTTTTAAGTTAAAAGATAAAAACCGATAAAGTCGAACTGTGAGATATTGATCTATGTAATATCTGATTCAGCTAAAAAATTCGCAGAAGAGGCCAACTTTTATTAGCCTAAATCAAAAAAATTATTAATGCTACCAATTATTATGCTACCAATCGCGATAAAAACTTATTTACATTTTCTAAATTGGGCACTCTTATTTCCCAGCCTGCCTTCCTTCTTCGCGTTTAATTAATCGCAAGCACTACATGCCAAGCTGTATAGAAGAGGGGGAGAGAGGGAGTTACTGTGGGATATCCTGAGGGTGTCGATTATTGATAACTTATGTCTCTAATTTATTGTTTATTTTAGAGCTGTTTTATCAAAAAATTTTATATTGAATGGCATGTAACACCTTTTAGAAATGTAGGATGCGATTATGCAGCGTTCAGAACAAAAGCCAACCTAACCAGTTGCCTTAGAAACAAAGATTAAAATAGCAGGGGAAACATTTAACACCTCTTTTTTAATAATTACGACTGTGAGTTAAAATATTGTTTAATTTTCGAAGCTAATGTCAAATTGCAGCACGAGAATGGGTAGAGAATGAAGATTAGGGGAAGATTGCAAAGGTCTACCTTGTAGCATTTGATTCGATAAGATCAAGCTAGAAGGCTGTTCATATGCACTTGTGGATATAAAGCGGCAGATCGCTTCAAGAATGAGGAACGCTTAGAAAATAAATTAGAATGAGTTATCATAGTAAACCCATTTCGTTATTGAGGAAAGGCTCTAGAGGAAAACCCATTTGATTAAGGCAAGAAGCAGTAAGGCAGTAGGAGAATGACCAAAATCATAGATAATGCACCAAACGAATCGGTATATTCCTTGTTGAGCTTTATTACGTTACTTTAAATATTTTGCGCTATTATGTTTCCAGTTTACAATTGTAGTGGTCAAGGGCATGTCTTTCTCAGTATTTTTGTCGATGACGATTCTCCAACCGAAGAAAATGTCGAGGTTTCAATTTGAGAGGAAAAAAATTCATTTTGCTTCTCCCTTCAAGGTCAACAGTCCAGGGCATGAACCCCTCCCATTGGTCGAGTTTCTTACCACTTTCGGTCACTTGAAGCACAAAATCACCGAAACGACACTTATACATGCATTTTATATATTTATTCTATTTAAAAAAACCTTACTAGCATTTCGATGTCAGATCTTTGCTAATATAATTGAAGTGCATCTAAGGATGCGCACTATATAACCAATAGCTCTGTTTATTTTGCCTCGAATTCATTTTTAATTCATTTATTGCATCTGATTAAATGAATAGGAAGTAAAATATTGGCCGTACAGAAGAGTATACCGCTTTCAATACGATACTTAGTGTAATAATATTGAGAAAATTCAAGTATTTCAGCTTTTGGAAGAGCAAGCTTAATATAAAAGGAGTTGTGCAGGGGTGGAGTTTCGTGGCTACAACGGTAGCCAGTGCACTATGCGGCTGTAATATTTCAGTTCAATGTACCGAAAATAGGATATTGAAGTTCGTTTGTCTTCTTTAAAACTTAGGTATCACGCTGTTGCTCAATTTTATACAAAAAATTTGTATAAAATTGACATTTTTGCATATACTAATGGCCTTGGAATTACTACAATAGAACGGTCTAACAGTAACTTTGGTTCAAAGCGATATAACAACCTGTCTCAAGGTTTATGTAATCAAGTCTCCCTCAGCTAACGTTCATATTAAGAGTAGATATTAACATTTGACCCACCATTTATAAGGTGTTTGTTGTAGGATAAGATGGGATCACTCGTTGTCTAGCTAACGAGGTTGAACAATCATGGGGAGGTGGGTAGAAAATAGTGGAGCTGAATGTGGGGTCTTCGACAAATACAGATTAGCTCAAAAGTAGAATATTCAGAACTGCTGTGAATCTCTCCTCACTGACAACTTTCAAAGGAAGCCCAATTAAATAGTTATAAAATTGTAAGAAATTATTGAATTCTTGGTTCAAATAGATAATAACCATAATTATAAAGTGCGTTTTTCTCCAATTATATCCTAGCTTATTTTGCCCACTAATTCAAGCTATTACATTGGCAGTTTGACAAAGAGGAGCGGCAATAAATCCACGAAGGAGTGTTAAGCTCATTATCTGGGAAACAATTGCTGTCAAAGAGAATGACTGTCAAATCTGTGAGGAACACAGCGCTAACATGGCTGAACCAAAGAATCCCCTGTGTGGCCTATAATTCTAGAACGTGAGGACCTAATAGTGACGGCACTAGGAAGCAAATGAGGTCAAGAGTGCATATAAAAACTAGACGTTAACATTTTACCCACCATTTATAAGGAAGCTATTGAAGTAAGTAGAGAATTTATTAGTGTACACATAGACGCATCACCACCACGATTGATTCGCAGAAAGTAGAATAATAAAACAATAGTGCTTTTATTTTGCTACACATAGCCGAAGGAATGCTTGATTGAGGATTATGGAGACAGTTAAGTGTCTAGACATAACTTGTGTCAGGTCCTGGGATGACCATTGGGGGGTGAGGGCTTAAAGGGTTAGTCTTTGGGGTAGCGGGATATGCAGTAGAAGAGGCTGCCCATCGACGATCGATATTGATGACGTAATAAGTATTTGATCCATCACTGTATGCCGGTTGTGGCTCGAGTTCTTGAATGTCGTGGTGGTGGTGTTGCCGATGGTCAGAAAGGCTTTTCGATTTGACGGTAATGGGTGATGCGGGACTTGGTGTAAGTAGTAACATCGAAGAAGGAGGTGGAGAGGCAATAAATTTGCAGCCATCGCCATGACCTTTGAGCAAAAGGCATTCTATTAGCACCCTATTTGTTTTTCTTCTCATAATAATAACAAATGGTATAAATAAACATGCCTTTAACCATTTTTTGCGGAAATAGCATTTCTGAAACCCTAGAAGTGAACGATTTCCTCACTGTTTGCGTATCAGGAAGAGCCTAAAATGAGCAAGAACAAAGAAGGAATGAGCATCGAAAAGCACGCTGCCAAAAATAGCCAACCAAAATGCCGCTTCACCGCAACTGCATTATTAGCCAATGGGGTGGAACGATGGGGCGTTCCTGCAACTGACGCGGCAACAACGTTGGTTGGGTACGCGGTAATTAAATGCCAAGAGGAAGGTGAAGGTGGGCTAATGGAATCTGAGCAAACTCCCGCTGAGGCTTTGATCAGAGTAGTTGGGGCTGGTGATGGCTGCATGTAGGCATTCATGGCTCCATTTGTTCCAATCACTGAAACCCACAAGTTATCATATGTTGTTACTTAATATATTTCAGTAGCCCTTGTCGCACATTTTAATAAGCATTACCCATCAAGTCACAGCTTAGTGGGAATTATGTCCGAAAATAAAAGCGACTGAAGTTGAATGATCAATAGATTTCCACATAATAGGAAGAGAACAATAAAATTAAACAATGCCTATTTTTGCTCACCCTTTTTAATGACGGAAAAAACAAATCACTCAAGCGAAATGCTCAAGAGTGACAGAAGTCACATTAACACCAACTTGTATCTGCAAAGCATTCATGCAATTCACCGCAAAATGGCATCCATTTCTTCTGAGCTTATCTATAGTCAGCTCTGTTTCGCTTGAGTAAAATCTGCTTTAACTTTATTTGCCGTGACAGCCCTTGAGGAATCTGCCTGTTTCGGCCATGAGAGAGCTTTGAATGAGGGTTGGGCAAAATTTACCATAAAACGAAGGTTGAGTGAAGTCGTAAACATTGCTTCAACGATAGTGAATGAGTAGTAGATAAATATTACTATATATTTATAATTCTTTCCACCTCTCTTATAATGTTTACGTAAATATTATATATTAACAATGCATATGATACAAGTATATATAAATATAATATTTTATGCGAAACTATTTGACACAAACTTAATGAAATTTTGAATAAAAGATGTTTGGTAATGAATATAGACATTAGACTTTTCTCCATATCTGAGAATTCACTTCACCGACCGAGTTTACTCTACAGTTTCTGCTCAGAATCAATGATTCAGAGGAAGTCTCAAGGTCAGCTAACCATTGTCATGCATAATTTGAAGGGGCCTGTCATTAAATAAGGACTCCAATTGTGATTGACATGCTTCCTAACAAAACGGCTGTTTAGACCTATTTCAAATTTGCTAACTTTCGTTTTACAGATATTATAAACATCAAGTGGGCTTCTTTTTAACTAATTAATGTGATTAATTCGACCATTAACCAACACTTGAAAATTTGATTCCAAAGGTTTCAGCTTAGAGTTCATCTGGCAATTGATGTCGTTATTTCTTGCTATTCCAAATGGACAGAAAAGAGTTTTGAACTTTATGCAAGATTTCTTCATTAAGTAAATATGCAACACAAATTTAAATAGCAATTGGAATAGGATAATGTAATACCTTTTACTATTACCATCTTTACAAAAATCATAACAAAGATTACGGTCAGAGATCTCTTTCTTCTCAATGACAACAAGTAGGACTTAGGTGACTGGTTGGGTCTCCTCGTGGGAATAGAATTGACGATTAAGAGATAATGAATTCAAATAGATGCTTACCCCAACTAAGTGTCTCAAGGGACAATACTGGAGAAAGGGAATCGAGGTGGAGAGGGGTGGGTTAGGGGTATGGGGGGGGGTAGAGGAGAAAGAATTTACGGGACCTCAAAGCCACTTTGTTACTTGAGTCGATGGCTCAAATGTCCTTACCCATGGGACCGAATCAACTGTTGTATTACACCCCAAGTATGAATGAGCTGTTATTAGGTTAGCAAGTAAAAATTGCTTTTATTGCTCAAAAGAATTCTGCATCACAACTACACTTTGCAATTTAGTGAATTTCATTGTTAGCTTTTGAATTAACTTGATGAAGGAAAGTATCAATCAATTACCTTACAACGTTTTAGAAGAATCATATTTGAACCACATTTCAATTCATATAGTCTCTGGAGGAATTAGTTTTTGTTTGAGTTCCTGAGTAACATATTCCCACCCCCCTCTTTGTGTCAATGCACCGCTCTATGCAATCGATTATTGATTAATTCTCATCTCTACACAGTGGCTCTGATTTTACCACCGCTTTGGTTTCATTGATTTCCAATAATAGGTTTTGGCCTGCCGATGCTCCCTCTTTTGTTATCCACAAGGAAATCATTAATCTTGTCAGGTACCCCCCCCCATTATTTTCAATTTCACGCAAAGTTTTACTCCAAGTTAAGTTGTCAAACTCTAAGAATCGGCTGTCACTTTAAAGCGTCTTTCTAAATTAGGACGCATTTTCTACTAATATTCCACTCCTGATGTGATAGGAAAAACCTCACTCACTCCGTACCTCTAATGCACTCACTTTAAGGACATTAAGAATGCAAGACATCCATTACATTGTAATGCAGCGCAGCACATTGCAGCCGTGTTTTAAAACGAAGAGTTATTTTTTTGAAAAATATAAGTGAACTCTGATTTACTCATCGTCAAGTGGCAAGCGTGACTAAGGGACGCAGTTTTCCTAAAAAAATCCTATGCGTTAGAGGGGCTAATATACGCGGGAGGTTTAACACTAGCACAACAATGTATTGTGGAATAAAATGAATTTACTTCTTAATGAATATTAGGAAAGAATGAACTTTTAAACCATTTCTTCCTAATAAGAGGGTATGTCAAGACATCGCTTTACGAAGTTGTTGAATTTCTGACTATGCGACTATGAAGATGAAAAGCGTGTCTCAATGAAATAGTAACTAACTTGCTCAATGGAGCCAGAAATCACGGTCGATGCACATCCAGTCAGTGGAATGACCGATGGTAACACTCATTCAGCTTAGGTGGTTCCATGATCCTGCTCCTCTAACCAAGATTTACTTTAAGTTTATGATTTTAAGGAGGGAAGTTGGGGGAGGGGGATAAAATGGTGACAAACAAGATGATTTGAGCATGATGAGAGACAAAGTAATGTAAAGCCATTTAATTTAGAGGACCGAAAATTCTCGAAGTGACTCTTTCCAGAAGATAATAATTGAAATGTGATCTTTGGGGCACTGGAATATGGTGGGATGATTTATATCCATTAAGTGGAAAATGAAAAATCAATTAAAGATTTTGTATGGTAAATATATTTCTTAATTATGGCAAGAGTTGAATTGGCTTCGAAAAAAGTGGTTTGTATTTGTGTAAGTCAATCAAAATTTGACTTTCTTCTAAAATGCAAGAGAAAGTGACTGAAGGCTGCTATATTTAAGAAAGTCAATCCATTTTCATATTAATCAAATTATAAGTTTAATTGGGGAGAAAACAAGATGGTTAAAAGATTTGTTGAAAGTAAATGCTATTTCGTTTATTGTTTAATGTCTTTATTTCAATCGATAAGGCTCTAAATACAGGACTTTCTTTAGGATAATTTACTTAACTCTCCTAGACAATAGTTTTTACATTAAACCACTTATGCGGGTGACGAATTCAAGCGAGGTGAAAGTGGGGAGATTTTCCGAATAAGATGCTGCGAGGTAGATGGAAGTAGACAAACGCATTAACGTGAATCGAATGAGATTTCAGGTTATTACTAATTTTTCCCATTTTCCTCTTCCAAAAAGAATCCTTCCGGAGGAAGAACCGATTAAAAACCACTTCATGTTTCCTGCAATGAGAATCACTATTTTTTAATGTTAAGATTTTAATTTAGCACATAGTGATGGAGGCAAATTGTGGATCTTTAAAAGGCAATGCTCATAATTAAAACGAATATTTGCTAACGTTATCAATAAAAAGGTATATTAAAATTGAAGCCAAGTTAGAGCTAGGCAAATTCGATGAATTTCGAGCCGCTTACTAATTGTAGCTCTTCTCCTCTCCGAAATGCTTCACACTTTTGGATTATTTCCCATTCATAAATTCTGCCTTATTGCATCCCCTGATAAACATCTTACCATTAGACCTTTGAATCAATTTACAAAACAAAAAAATAGATGGCTTCTTATCGCATTTCCATTTTTCCACTATTGATAGCCCAGTGAGTCACTATAATACTTGCAGTGGATGATATATATATTAGAATTTGTAGGTGGTAGTAGCGATGAGATGATGGTTATCAACCAACTTTCAATGGTAATTTATGGGTGTGAGTTATGAGTCACGTAAGTCGGGGGGGGGGGAATAAAAGAGAATAAATGCCGCCTCACTAGACGGTTCTAGTACTCATTCAGTGGGATTGAAAGCTAGGTGTACATCAACCTCCCCTGAATGCTTTAGAATAGCGAAACAGTAAAATTGACAGTTGTGTATACCAAAATGATTGGTGTTATTTCTTATCAAATCACTTGAGACCTTTGGCAAGTTAATTCACTTCTTCATCCTTTGGATTGGGAGTAATTGCTGAGCGAAACCATGTGTGAACCATGTTGCTACCTCGGAAGTGGTTGCCTTAGCTAAAAACGTATACCAGAGAGGAGCCAACAATCCAAGTATTTTAAGATTTGTTTTTTCAAAATAGAATTCGTGACCCATTGGGGGAACGTGCTATATCAGAACTCATAAAGACCACAAATGTAGGACTCTTAGAAGCTCCTCCTTTTCAGAACCCCATATTCAATCTTTCCTCTACTACCCGAAGACAGAAAAATTAGGCTTCCAAATAACAAATCGTTTTGATATAATTACCTTTGAAACACGATTGCTAATTCAAAAGACGACTTTTGTCACTTTGATGTTCCTTCCCCTCTGTAAAGCCTGAAGTCAACTAAAAGGCGAATGATAACTATCAAAACGCCTACCGTTTGATATAAATAAAGTTATCGATTATTACATTGATGGCGTTTGGCAAGATTTGAATTTTTAAAAACTGAATTGCTTAAGTTCGTTTAATTCATTCGTTATAAGTGTGCTACGAAGATCTTATTGGTTCACATTTACTTCTCACATCTTCCACCAAAGTAGTTTTATTCAATTAAAAAAACTAGCAGTAAGGCTCGTATTTACTTGAATTAAAAGTTCTTTTTGTTTAAATAAACTTCTGTTAGGCCAACCCAGGGGCGTTGAACTTTTTCATGGTGCAGCATATGCCATTTATTAAAAAGCCAGGCAAAGGGCTCTTCAGCCAACAACTGATACAATTTATTTATCAAAATGCAATTTTCTAGTCGGCTTTAACACTATTTTCAAGAACTATAAACGGTTCACTTTAACTGAGCTGAAGGCAAGATTGATTATTTATCTTCAGTGGCGCTATTG